TTTTCCGGCAAAGCCCTTATGTATCTGTACGTGGGATGTAAGTCTCAAAGCTAGACTTAAAAATACAAGACCGCATGGGAGCAGAAAGAGGTCAGGATTTGAAGTAGTCTTTTCAAAATCTGAAATCTCTGCCCTATCCACATGCAGAGTTAGAAAATTTTCAACCTCGGTTAGCAAAAAGATTCTTAGCTTTCTCAGTTGCGCAAAAAAAAGTTGACCATGAAGTGCAACTTCAAAAAGCCTTTTTTTTCGTCTGCTTTTCATTGTGACTTCAATCGTTTAATTAGGGACAATTAGCGGCGTGTTTTGTTCCGTTTTTAACAGACATTAACTATATTCTTTTGTGCTCAAGAAGTAGAGAGACTGACCACAAGTTCTAATAATTTTTGATAAATAAGCGCAGTAGGAAACAAAAACATGAAATAAGCGAAATAGTGGACAAGTAAACGAATTAAAAATGTAGTGCGGAAGGACCTGTGAACGAAAAGATTTTGATTTTAAAAGTTCGTCATAGAAAAACATAAAAATTGGAGAAAATAATGAAAAACGAACAATTCCTTTCCCCAACATAATTTGCAGAATTTTGAAAATTATATATTTTCGACGGCTCATCTAATCCCAAGTCCGTAATGTTATAATTCTTATTAGAACACTCACACGGACTGATCGGGTCATCTTGTCATTTCTGGCATAACGCGTATATTGTGAGGTATTTACTTAATTTCCAAGAATTGCGCAAAGGACAGTAACGCACAATGTGGACGATGAGCGGATGAGCTCTCGAAATGCGCGTAATGCACGGCTAATCTCCAGATAATTCTTATCTTGACAGCTGGATCTGGCAAATAATAAAAAGAGCGTCGAGAATTCGTGAGCTCAAGCGGAGACCGATGCGAAGCAAATTTGTCGGTCCTTGGCCAACCATCTTTGACTGGTCCCATGCATCTTTGTCACCACTTATTCAGCGGTTAATCTGTTACATGAATATATAGCCTAATTCCCCAAAGCCCTTACCGTTTCTTTCACGACTAATTGAAAACTGTCTGGATTACCAAGTCAGCCAAACTGTGTAGGGAACAAGGATGCATGTGCAGAGAAACTGGAGCTACAATAAAAATCTTCTTGAAGTGAAGCCTTGGCTCGATGCAAGACTCGTTTCCTGTTTCGTGTACTAGATACGCCTATCTGCTGATACCCAAATTTTGCTTCGTTATGTGCGAAAATTTATGCAACAAGTTTACTCAAAGAGGCACAAATTTTGCTTGGCATTTGCAAGGAGAAAGTGCACGTCAAATTCACAGAAGACGCAGCGCATGTTATGGAATGCCACGATGAAATAGTGAAGCTCTGCAAACTGCTGAAACAGGCAAAGCTTGAACGAAGCGGCACCGAGAATATGAATCCTGTTATATCGGATTATTATGCTTATTTTGGAGAGTGCGAGGGTCGCAGTTCTTCTCAATCTATTTCGCTAAAAAGTGTAAACATCAAAGGAGTATGTTTTGAACAACAGACTTTAATTCTTGACGACTTTTGATGATAAACTTGAATGAGCCGGTTAGGCATAAATGCTTTTCGGTGTACGGTAATAACTAAACCCAGGCTGGAACGCACCAAGCGAGCCGGTGCTACCATGCGTTTTTGCATCAAACTTTGAGGTACTCCATCATAATATCCCTGTCCTCGCCTCACCCCTCCACTCGCTCTCTCGCCCCTCTCCCTTCCCCCGCACCCGCCCTGGATATCCATCTTCTCCAAGCGGTGGTATTGTGCTGCATAATACAGCACCATTACAAAGCGGTATTCCGTGAGTACGGTACCGTGAGTCCAAAGCCCCTGAGCGGTTTAACGCTCAGTTTAACGGTTTAACGCTCTTCATTTTGGGCTTATTCATGGTGTAGAGCGGTCTGATGCTCAACACAGTAGGGTTGTTTGTGGTTGGGAGGTGGGTGGTCGTCCGTGGTGGTAGGATGTGGGCCGTGTTCGGGGTGGGGGGGGGGGGGGGGGGGGGGG